CGCCCCTAGACTTTGTTTTCTAGCAGACTCGCCCGGGTTAAAGTTATAAGGGACCCTTGTTTCTGCCTCAACATCACAACGTCTAAATGTGGTAATAAAATGGGGCTAGAACAGGATTCACTTACATGGAAGAAGAAAAATGTTAGTATTTCCCTAGACATTAGTATTTCCCTAGGTAAATTCTCCTTTCCACTGGTAGAGGGTGAACATCTGGATATAACACACAGAGATATTGAAGTGACCAACTTCAGATTTTGCATCTTGAATATAAATACATCCGTCATCCTGACATTGGCCATTGAATAAAATCTGTGCCTGTGTGCTTTGTACAATTGTGTATATGTGATATGCAAGAGTGTAAAAGTGCATGTGTGCGTCCCTAGCAGTCTGTTTTTGTTTTGTTTTTTTAAGTGTTACGGGTCGGGGGCGACGTGGGAGACAGATCACTCTAGTTTTAAAGCAGCAGGGCTCAGGGAGGAGTTACCAGAGGTAGGATAGAGGTCTGTGCCCGAAGCAGGGGTCGGGGCCTCTGTGCTGAAACCGGCTCGCTGGTTTGCGCCGGAATTCCTCTGGGCGTTCACTCGTTCTTTTACAACCCAACTCAGCTTCTCTAGACTGCGACGTTGGGAGCAGACGGGCGGCCCTCAGAGGACCCTCCTTTTCGTTCTGGGCGCTCAGAGCGCGCGGGACTCCGCACGCACAGGCGTGTAGGTTCTCGGCTCTGCCACTGTGGGCACGCCTTGCCCCCCCCCCGTCCCCCGCGAGCTTGAGCCCTGGACCTCTGCACGTCTTGGCGCCCAGGCCCGCGGAGGGCGGCATCCATGCGGGCAGCACCCAGGGTCGTCTCGGAGGAGGAGGAGACTCCCAAGTGCGCGATGTCGCGGCCTCTCTGGGCTGTTTGCTCTCCTGGGGAAGGGGGTGTGTGGCGGGGGAAGGAAGAGGATGTTTGTTTATAGATCGGCTCCGGTTTCTTCCAGCGTTAGGACCGCGTAGACAGTGCCCGATCGCCAGAGGGCTGCAGTTTGAGGCACCCGCGCCAGGAGGAGACGGCCTAGCTTCTCCTAGGGTTCCTGTTTGGTGTTGGTGGGTCGCGTGTGCCCGTCTTTTTCCTTTCCGGGGCTTTTCCCCTTACACTGGCAAAGAGGTGGGTAGGATTAGCCTCTTAAGCCTCAAGAAACTCGTTTAAAATTTCTCCTGCTAGAGGCGAAAGGCGATTCTCGGAGCACGTGGGAGGCTCCCGAGGTCCCGGCTCCAGCCCCTACAGGCGTGGTGCGCGCGGGGCCGCGGGCGGGGTCGTCGGGAGGGTGCGAGGCCGGGGCCGGCACCGGGCGGGGGAGTGCCGGAGCCGCGTTCCCGCTCCAGCCGAGGTTCAAAGATTAGAAAAACAGGTGTTACGTCGCCATGCTAATTCACTCTCTCGGTAAACGCGGCTCAGACAGTTGTGTGCGGAGGACTTAGTGAGGGGGCCGTCACCACTTGGCCGCGCATTCACTTTGTTTATTAAAGGACACATTCCCAGTTCATCGACTACTGAGCTTCACTGGGACACTGGAGCAGCCCTCCTGGCCCCCACCCCCAGGACGTCGCCTTTGGTGTGAAGACTTCCATACTCATCTTGCTGCTGAAGGCAAAACACTACATTTCTTCGGCGCAAAACGCACGCTGTAATGGGAGGCGTGCACTGCCTGATCCCCCAGAGTCCCTGCGACGGCCAAGGGTTTCAGACCGCAGCAAAGCGCCAACACACCTGCATGTTGTTTGAAGTAGAGATAGGGTTTACAGTAACCGCCGACTTAAGTGACATCCTTTTTAGAACAGTCGGAATAGAAAACTGCTTCTTACCCCTGAAGGGTCATTGCTTCGCCTGGCTGCTCCATATTACCCCTAAGTTCTGTCCAGGTTGGGGGCGGGGAGAGTGGGGAGAAAGAAGGATCTCAGGAAGGTTTTTTCAACCTTTCCAAACAACCGCCCCCCACTCTTTTTTTGTAGGGGTCAACTTGATCTTATCTGGTCTTTCTGCAATCTTGTGTATAAGGAAGCCACAGTACATCTCTCTCTCTATTCCTACTCATCTCTTGTTAAGAGTGCGTTACTTGGTGGTGAACCGCCCAGAGCCGGGTCTCTAAGTGGCTACAGCCTCTGGGGAAATGACTTCTCCTTCTAGATTAGAGCCCATTTGCTGGATTCCAGTTTTGGAACACCTACCACATCTCTATATTTAGTTCTTTTTCAAAAAAGTTTTGTTTTGTTTTTCTGTCCAGAACGTTCACCACCTCCTCCTGCCAGGTGTTTCCCAGATGTGTAAATACTCCGAGGACGCTCCCATTGTCGTTCTTCGAGCTTACGGCCATCGGGCGGCAAGGAGGGGGCAGATGTGTGTATTTTTGAACAACCACTCAAAGTTGTTCCGAATATCAGCAAGATGGCACACACCCCTCTTCAGGGTATATGTTTTCTTGGAGGCAATCAGCGCCACCAACGAGAAGACGAGTGCAACATGACTGGTGTTCTCACTCTTTTACCGCTGATGAAACAATTGCCTCCGAGTCGACCTCCAAGAGCCGAATCGTAGTCACCAGCAGCACCAAAACCAAGCAGGGAACCGCATCTGTAGGGAGTGATTCGCAAGCAGCAACAATTGTCTTCCGGGACGAGTGAACTTCTTCCCGTCGCTCTTTTCTATCCTCAGATGACAGGGAAGGCGATTCAAATGAGAGGTTCTCTTAAATATAACTTGTCAGCAATAGTACTTACAAGCGTTTGTTTAAACGGCTCCTGTAAGGGATCGTAAATGCTGTAGATTCATTCGTGCAGACTGTATCCCTTCTGTAAGGAATATTCATGTTGGACTTTTGTTTCCTGAAACAAAACCCAGCAAAAACTCTTCGCTCACGTTTAAGGTAACGGATTATTGTGAGATACTTTATATCAACGACTCTAACTCTATTTTGGCCTGAAATGTAACCTCTTTTCCCCTAGTGTCCCCTATCTGCTCCCCATAGGAAAACTCCATGACTGAGCTTTCTCCCGTGAACAAATCAGCGCCTAGATTAGACCCATTTCCGAAAAGACGCTCCTCTTTGGGATTAATTTAAATACGGGTGTATTTATCCTCTCTGGCGATGCATTCGGTGTCGCCGTGGTTTCAGAGAAATGCGAAAAAGAAAATATAACCCAAAGAAAACATAACCCACCGGCCCCGTGCACGCTGTGGGCCCCGCGACTTGCCCGCGGGAAGGGAGCGGCCGCCTGGTCGGCCTTTGGGCGAACATCGCCCGCAGCCTGGGCTATTCCTGCCTCGCCTGCCGGGCGACCCAGCCCCCGGGCCCGACCTTTGCGGCCAGGGGCCGCTGCCCACAGCTTTGGGGCCCCCCTAGCACTGCGGGGCCGGCGCTCGGGGCTGAGTGCACAGACACTCAACCCCCGGGATCGCGGGGAGCGCGGATCCTGCACGTCGCCCTCAAGGCCCGGGAGGCCGAAAGCAGGAGCTGCTATAGCCGGGCAGCGCAGACACCGGTGCCCCCGGCTCGTGAGGAGCGCTGCGCGCGCGGGTAGCAAGGCAGCGAGCCGGGAGCCGGGGTGCGCCGGGGGGAGGCGCGGTGCGTGCACGCGTCATTCAGCTCCGTCGGCCAATGAGCGCCGCGCCCCGGGACGCGCCGGGCCAATCAGAAGCGAGGAGGTTTGTGAGTGGCATTAGGGGAGGGCGGGAGAGAGGGAAGCCGGGAGTGAAGTTGAAGCTAAACCCCGTAAACCATTAAGAAGTTAGGGGGGCGTTTTCGGCTTCCAGTCAGGAATAATACTGGCTTCGTAGCAACTACCGAGGAGGAGGATTCTAAAACCACCTCACCCGTCCCAAAGCCCGCATCCCCCTCCTTCTGCCACACACCCCTCCCCCAATTCATGACCAAGAAAAGAAGAGAGAGCCAGGGCACGCTCTGCTCCTCTCTGCGGGTGGGAAGCAGAGAGGCCTGAGGAGAGGCTTAGTTGGACCGTAGGCATGAGTACAATTAAGAGGTGGGCGCCTGCGCACGCTTTGCTGCCAGCGGGGACTGAAGGTAGGTGAAGCGGAACACGCCCTGCGCCCGCCCATCAGCGCCCGCAGCTCTACGGCGGAGGGGGAGAGGCCGGGCGCCTCCCGCCCCCCGGTGCCTGCGAGGGGCTGTCGCGAATGTGCCACCTGTTAACCTGGCGCAGCCGTGCCCGGCGTGTTGCCGCCCCTGCTGGGCAGGGAGAGCGCTGGGTCGCCTCCTCGGCAGCCCTGAGGGACTTGATGTGTAAGTGCTACATTTTGAGGAATCCCCGAGACTTGAGACCCAAGTTAGAGAGCCAAGTTCCGGACCTGCCAAAGTGGGGGGACGGAAAGGTGCCCGAGCGCTGTGGAGGAATTGTGATTTGCGGAAACCTGCCTTCCTGGGACTTGCGCCTGGCCTGGGCAGGGGCACGGGGACCGGCGGCTGAGGGGCTCCTAAGGGTCTTGCAAAATCTGCGTTTTGTTGTTTGGGCAATTTCCCAGGGGGCTGGAGAATGTGTCTGACGGGGGTGAGAGAATGGGAGCGTTATTTGCAGGGGACTCAGTCTCGCTGCTGATTTCTCCAAATCTTAACCAACCAACCAACCAACCAAAACACTGAGCCCGGCGAGGAAAGCTGAGGCGCGCTGAGGCCCTTCCCGGCCGTTTTTCAGAATTGGGGCGAGCGCGCGAGTGATTGTGGAGCCGCAGATCTCTTACGCTCTGATGCTGTTGTCTTCACAGTGGCCTGAAGAGTTGTCCGGCATTCCTGTTCTTCCCAAAGCGGCTTGGAGCCACCCTAAGGGCCGCGGGACTGAAAGCAAACGTCGGGGATTATTATGTCGATTTCCCGAGAACCGGGGTTCGCAGCGCGGAACCGAAGAAAAGGCTAGCTCCTCGGAGGTCCCGCCGGCATTTGATACCCAGCGACGCCTAGGATTGCCCAGATCGCCTGCGGTGGATCAACAACTTTCCTCTACTCGCATCCCATATTTTTAAAGAAAAAATTTTCTGTTCGCCGCGTTGGTCTTTTACTGCCACCAAAACACTGAAGCAAAGACTTCAGTCTCGCCATTCAAAGTATGCTTTATATTTTTGCCAAATATGATCTCTAATTGAAAGTTTATTTTTGGTTTTGGATGAATCTGTGGAACTTATGTTGTAAGAAGAAAGGGGGAACGAGACACGATGAAAGAGAAGTCCAAAAATGCTGCCCGGACTAGGAGGGAGAAGGAAAACAGTGAATTTTATGAACTGGCTAAATTACTGCCTTTACCCTCGGCTATCACCTCGCAGCTGGACAAAGCATCCATAATCAGGCTCACCACCAGCTATCTCAAAATGAGAGTAGTGTTCCCAGAAGGTAAGTGACTTTGCCCAGATGGAATTTCAAAGGCAGAAGGGGCACGGGGTCTGCCAGTGAATGAGCCTACGCCACTGGGCAGAGAAGTACATTCATACTTACACACACACACTCTGCGAAGGGAAGTTTAGCATGGCTGCTTAACTAAGGACCTCTCTGCATTTAGAATTTCTGTTGCCTTTCCGTGGCTCTTTCTACTTCCCCATTAATACTTTCTCTTCAGTCCATCAGATATGTTTGATTGGGAAGCAGCTCAACAGTGCTTTTGTCAACACTTAGATACTGAGCTCAGTTGAAAGTACTACTAATCCAAACATGACTTTCTTTTTTTACTCCTCTTGTTAGAATTGTATCTAGCAGAGAGCAGGAACATCTCTAACTTCTTGTATTTTTGTTATGTCTAGATACACCCATGTACATGGAGCTAGCTAAGGCAGATAATAATTTCTCTATATGTCAGTAATCCTGCAGATGAAGAGCAGGCATATTCATGAACAAATATGTCCTGAATTTACCCAGTCTCTTGACTGCTTCTAGCAAATTTATTCTGAGTTGTTGAGATGTTCACAGATTCCGAAACTAACTCTGGGACTTGGTGATTTGCAACTCTGGGCTTGATATTTTCTCTAAGATGTAAGATTGAATTAAGATCACTAGCCCGCTTAGAAAATATCTCCTAGCTGGTAGGTTGGCAAATGGATCCATGGGAAAATTGTCTCATACGGCCTAGAAGTTAGAATAGCTGAGCTTTTGACATGGTTTAAAATGTGTATTTAGATTATCAAGATTCATTGTGTGAGGACAGAGTAGCCTTGAAAGAACACTGTCCTGTATAAAACCATTTATACTCCCTAGGGGAAGGACTCTTCTATTTCCCCATCCTTTCCTTTACCCACATTCAAATAACACATAAACAGATTTTTAAAAATATTTTAGATATATCTTTGCTGGGAGAGGAGATTTGGAAATGTAGAGAATATTAAACAAACAAAAATTCAAGAGAAGGAACCCTGTGTACTTACAAACCAGAACTTCTTATGTGACAAAGAGAGGTTTATGTTATTGTTGATTTTGGATGTTTGGAGTTTGTTGTTTTCTTTTAAGGAAATGGGTGGGGGGGGGATAATCATTATTGGGCTTTGAGTTTCACTTTGCTTCATCTTGACTAAAAGTTATTATCTGAATCAAAATCTTGCAAAACAGGCCCTCAAATTAGTCAGGGGCACTAAAGGAAAACTTTCAAATTATAGTTCGGTTTTACCCCAAAACTATAAATAGTAGTATGGTCATTTTTTCTTAAAGCAGTTCCTTGAACAATCTCATCTGAGCCTCGAAACCACAGGAAGAGAGGAATCAAAACCTAACATACCTGAAAAGTTTTAAAAAAAGAGAGAAAAAAAGGAGGGGAACATATATTAAAAACCATATTTCCCATTCAAACTGTGCTGAGAATTGCTGGTGGGAAAATTACTATTATGCTACATTGCCTTCTGTTTAAAAAAGAGATCTCGTTGTCTTTATACTGTCAGCGCCTACTTTATAAAAATAAAGCTATTGCGAACTCCGCTGGCCGCTCTGTTCCTAACAGGATTATTAGCAGTGATTTGTCAGCCCCTGCGGTCTCAGTGGGCTCCCTTTCTGCGTGATTTCTAGCGGGTCTCGTCAATTATCGGTGCCGATGTCGCTGGCTGTTTGATCAGAAGAAGCATATGGTGCTGCTTGTGAGGCTGCGAGTAATTGCGGAGGAAGAGAATAGAGGGTCGGCTTCCCCGGCGGGCACAGAGAGGGACAGAGCGCCCGGGGAGTCGCCAGGCCAGGGCCTCGTTTGTGTCGTGCAGACCCCGGGCAGGCGCGGCCAGAGGGAATCGGGCTGATTCTCGTTGTTTTGTTTTTGTTTTAAAGAGAGCAAAGTTTCTTGTTTAATTAAGTGCTAACCCCACAAATTATAAATTGCATGATAAATAAATAGGAAAAGTAAACTCTCTTAGCCAACTTCTCGTTATTTTTAAAAAGAGTGCCGGTGAAGACTCCGGCTGGAGTCCCCTTGGTGCCCAGGCCGGTCCCCTGTGGCTACTTTAAAGGCGACTGTGCTTTCTGCAGCGCCACTCACCTTCCTTCGGAGCTCTGGGCCCCGGGCCCCTCCTTCCTCTCCCTTCTTCTGTGGATGCGTGTGGGTTTATGGGGAGGAGGGGATGGACGATGTGTGAACTCTGGGCACATCATTTATTTCCCCAGCTACTGTTGAGCTCATAACTCACCCGTAGCCTCCACCGGGTGAGTTAGACAGGGTCATCCGGACAGCTGGTTCCTAGGGATGAGGTTTTAATTTTGAGGATAGTTTAGCTTCAAAAGTCCAAAACCCTAGACACAGCCCTTTAAAATATTAAAGGACAACAGCAACAAACAGTAAAACCAACAGTTTTTAAAAGGAGTGAAATAATCACAAGCCCGCAGAGCCAAGCACAACCTGCAGAGGGTGCGAAGTTTGGGTTCAGCTGTTGACTGACGGCAGAAGGGGGGACAAGAGTGGGTCCATGGCAGTGGGGGAAACTGAGCACTTTATATGGGGGTAAACTTTTTTAGTGCTGAGAAATGGGAAAGAATTTGTTTGAAATGAAGTTCATTTTCATATCTGTCTTAACACCATCTTAGCACATAGTAGGGCTTCAGTAAAATTTTAAGGGTGGGATGAAAGTAGCTATTTCATCATGGTAAGCATGCTATCATATGTAACATGGAGTATGCAAGGTATATAATCTAAAATACTTCTAAATCTGGTGACATCTTAGTTACAGGCATAAAAATGACTGTAAAACGCCACTGTTTTTGCTCATATTACATTTTGTTTTTAATACCCTGTAATTCTAAAAGACTTAAAACAGAAATCTTTCCATACTTATATGTGAAAAAAATTAAAAATCCTTAATTCTCTCCCCCCTCATTTGCTGAATACAGTTTCTCCCGCCTAGGATAGCAGATTCCTTGTCTGGGAGCAAACTTCAGCTTTTATTTATCTGAGTAGATAAAATTGAGCTGTTGAGGGGAAAATGAGAGAGAGAGAGAGGGAACAGATGAATGGGCTGTGGGTGCTCGGAATAATTAGGAATAAAGCATTAGATTGGAGATTTCATAGTAAAAACAAAAACTCTGGTACAATTACTGTCATTAGAAATCATTAGAATTGCATATCTCCCAAGTGGTAACATATTCTATTCTAAAATAGCCTTGCAAGGAAAAAATTGGCACATCTAGATATGTATGTCTTTGGTGTTATCAAAACCAAAAAGGCAGGATAAAAAAAGTGATGATATGACTTTATTTGTGTGCAAAAAAGGGTAAATTCAACTAAAATATATATATTTGTTATTTAGATATAAGGTAGTTTTGACTGGGGGCGTAGTGACTTGCAGAATAACCTTTGAAAGGATCAGATGTTTTCAAATCTGTGGCCATTCAGAATCTTGGTAACATCACTTCTATTTCATTGTCAAGGTGTCTTGGGAAAATAAAAATAATGACAGAATTGAAATTAGTAGCTGTGTATGAAAGAGAGTTTCTACAAAGGCTGGAAGGACAAGGATGGTTAAACAAACCTCCACAGACACTTTCTGTAATAGTCACCTCAAGATTGAAATCCTTAATCGCCTTATATTTTTTTGAGGCCAAGAACTGAAAGAGAAAAAGTGGTCCCATTTCCCACGTGGATGGGTGATTTAAAGCTGTTTTTCTTGCTGCTTGGGGAAATGATTGAGCATTAGGTTTCCATGTTTATTTTCTTACAGAAGTTTTTCTCATTTAAACGCCTTCAAGCACAGTTTACGCTCCACGCTGGTTTTCTCTCTTTAATTCCAGTTTTGATGTTGACTTAAAATGTAGAGTGCAGAACTAAACTCCATGCAGAGCATTTGCAAGGCAGATTTATGTGCTAGAAATTATAGATCAGATTAATGAAAAAAGTACTTTTTTTGAAAAGGGAATGATCACTAATAAAACCAATAACAACAACAGCAGCGAAACTACAAAACAGGATATGATAAGATATGGCAGGGTACAATCACCTGTCTGAAGCTAAAATCAGGTTAAATTTCCAGAGGACAAATCCGATTTCTAGGGGAGTTATTTTTCAATTCTGGGGAGATCTTGGCAGCTTCCAGCTTTTGCAGCTACAAACGTGGACACAGAATTCGAGCCTATGGATTCTCACCTCATTTCTCTATCTGTTGGCTCAGGTATTTCTCAAGAGAATGAGGTTTAGCCTCAACTAAAACCTTATGATTTTAGCTGCTTACCCAGTGCCAGTCTCTGATCCACGGAATTTTAAATTTTTCGTGGGGACGGGGAATCCTCAATTATTTCGCAGTGGGCCTGCGAATCAGAAAACACTAAAACAGTGTGTGAGAATTGAGGAATAAAGCTTCTTCCTAGGGTAGAGCCCTCGGGCAGGCGGCTCCTGCGTGGAGTCACTCGACCTCGGTGGCTCGGACCAGCCCGGGAACAGCGACCTCGTCGAAGCCCCCGCCGCGCCTCCCGCAGGGCCCGCAGCACGCAGAGGAGAGGAGCATGTAGGCCGCGGCCGGCCGGCCAGGTCGGCGCCGTGCGGCCCATTCTCCCCCCGCGGTGGTGGCCCGCGACCCGCCCGCCTTCCCCCGGTGGCCGCAGCCGAGGGTGAGCCTGCTCGCGGCCTCCTCACGGCGTCTCGTCACTCCCCGCGCGAGCCCAGGTCTTTTCCCTCCCGGGACGCGAGGGCTTCTGCGCCCATGCGCCCGTCGTGCCTCGTCCTGCGCGGGCCACTACCCCGAGGCCCGGTCCTCGTCTAAAACTTAAGCCAAGATCCCGCCCGAGGGGCCGCTGTGCGTCTGTCGAGTCCCGACTGCCAAGTGGAACAAAAGCGGGATAGGCCCTCGCCGCTGGGCAGACCCGTCTGCCTCGCCCGCGCCGGTCTTCGGACGCCCCGTCAGGCTACCCTCGAAGGCCCGGAGTCTTGAGTGGACACCAACTGCCGCTCTCAGCCGCCTCGCAGCACTACCGTCAACCCCTCGTGCGTGTTCGTCTCACGGGTTAGTTGGCACCTGGCCGAACCTTGCCTGTCCCTCGTTCCTGCAGTACGTGTTCTCTCGGGGCTAGGCCCCGCCCGGGAAGCCCTAGCTTCGGGGCCGGGGCACCACGAGGGCGCAGAGGGAGAGTCAGCGCTGCGACCGTCGGTCTCCACCCCAAATTCACACTAACTTCAGCGGATCCCCCGCCCGCCCCCCCGGCGTGGCTGGGGGTCTCAGAGGCAGGCAGGGGAGGGCAGGGTACACACGAACGGTGGGGGCCAGGCCGCCGCACGGGATAAAGCCCGGCCCCGCGCGGCCACCGACGCCCGCGGAAGGTCGGCCACACCCGCCAGGTGGCCCAGAAGGCCGCGCCGGGCGTCCGAGGTAGGCGTGGGTGCGCCTCGGTGAGCGTAGCGGCCTCCTGCCCAGTGACCGCTCCAGGCGCTCGGTCTCGGCTAAGCGCGCCCGACCTTCCCCAAGGAGCCCAGCCGCCCAGGCTCCCGGCTCCCTAACACGAAGGCCGCTTGCTTGTGGCTTGGGAGGTTTGGACAGTGCGCTCTCAGTGAGCACGCGCAGGCCCTGTGGAAAAACCAGGTGGCTGAGACAAGTCCCCCCCCCCACCCCCGGACCAGAAGTTAGGAGCGCAGTCTCGGAGGGCTTTGCCCGTCTCAGTCACCAAGTTGTCACCAGGTCATGGGACAGCTCCTCCATCAACTCCATACTGGCTAAAGGGCACATCGCGATCCATCCAAGAGAAAGTTCCCAGGAACGACAACAAGGAGGACACCTTTCTATTCACGTATAGTGTTTATTTATTAAAGGAGAAAAAAAAAAAAAGAACAGTAGAACAAGCTCTCCTCCTCCTCCTCTTCCTGTCTGAGTGAAGGAGGCAATGATGCCAGGTCTGTAATCTACATTTTGTCAAGGGTATGAAATTCATTCCGAAGGAAAAGCTCGATCAATTTATTTTTGCTGCTTGCAATAACACAGCTGGATGATGCTTTGAGCTCACGCTAGACTGGGGCTCATCATTCATTCGCCAAGAACGGGCCTAAATTGTGCCTGTGGGATTAGGTCAATTTTAGTGGATCTACTTCGCCTCATTTGGTTACTAATTGGTTTCTTGTTTTATAAATCGAAATCTCATTTTCAGGAAATTACAAAAACCGTGCAGTCAGTCCATTGAGGTAATCCTTGGGTCAGGGGGTATTTAAATGGAAATGGCTCAACCGAGCACTGAGGGTAAAGCAACAGTGAAACTTTGCCCGGGGTTTCACGTGAAATGTGAGCTAGCCCTTTAGATCCATGATAGATACATCCCTTCTGATACTACTTATGTAAATATGATAAACCAGACTTTAAGGGAAGAGGGGGGTGGGGAGAAGCAAAATTTATCTGCTAAGGTTAATGTGGCATATCTTGGAAATCTTCCAAAATAGATTATGTTTTCTTTTGTCTTTGGCCACTTTAGCTGGGGAAAATCCTTTCGTCTAAAACCCGATTTAGTTATCGCCTCCCTCCCAGAGCTCCTTTTCTCCTTTGCAAAACCCCCGTTCTCCCGGCCTCACCGAATTACAAGAGAATCTTTAGATCTTGTTCCCACTGTAATCCTGCCGCAAAGGGAGTTGGTTTCCTACTCATTTTAAACAGACAATCAAAGGATTTGCGAATTTTCTGCGGTAGGTCAAGTGCAGAAACGAAATCTCAGCTTACCCCCCTCGCCAACTGAAGTGGGGTGCGGGAGCACGTCACTGCAGGCAGAAGGTGAGGGGGTCCAGGGAGAGGGCTCTCTAGCCCACTCGGGGCTTTTCGGGAGGTGAAACCCATGAGCAGGGCTTCGAAGGTGTCCTGGGCAGGCTGACTGGAGAACTCAGCCCTGATATTAGGTCAGGAAAGCTCGGCAGGTAGACGAGGGCAGCCAGTCCCTTATAAAACATTAACCCAGGCATAACCGTGTGACGGAGCTTTCAACCGGGAACAGAAGAGAAGGCGATGCTCGGTGAAAGCCAAAGGTTCCTTAAAAGGTGGTGGTGGGGGTGTGTGTGAGGGCGGGTACAGGAAAGGGCGACGGAGGCCCCTGTCACCCTGCGCCCGGCCCGGCTGCTTATTAACCTGCCGGTAAGTCTTATTTTTCCCTCGTAGGCGCATACTAATGAGGCCGCAGCCCGAGACCACAACCAGCCAAGGCTGGCGCCGGGAGTTCGGAACCAGTACTTAACCCTGAGCCCAGCTCGGGGGATTTTCAGATGATTTGGGTCGGGAGGCGGCTCCCCGGCGTCCCCAGCCGCTGTGGGGGGACCTTCATAATTTTAGAATAAAGACCTGTGTTGGCTGCAGGCGCAGGCTTCGCACTCTTCCGGGAGCTGAGGAAGACGGGATTCCAGACACAAGGCGGCCGCGACCAGCTCCCTGCACGCCCGAGCGCCCGGCCCCTCGCCCCAGCGAAGCTTTGGGCTTTCAGGCCTCGGCTGGGCCCGCGGTGTCCAAGGGTCAGCGCCATGCTGGTCCCGGGCTCTCCCAGCAAGATCCGTTCCCCTTTCCCCGTGCGGCCTCCCCGGCTAACCCCTCCCCCCACTTCTTCTGGGTGTATAGGTGTGATCCGGGATGAAAACATGAACAGGTCGTGCCAGAAACCAAGGAGGATAGCTTGACTGAGACGGGAGGAGCGAAGGGAAGGTGACAAGGCGAAGGGGTGTGTACAGGCGGCTGTGGCGGAGGACCTCCCGCACGGTCCAGGGGGACCACAGGGCTCAGGGCAGTGGAGTCACTCTGGGGAGGAAAACTGGGGCGGGCTAAAGAATCAGGAGGGGTTGCCGAGACGCGAGGGAGGGAGAGGAGTCCGGGCGAGGGGGGGGCGGGGAACATCAGTGTTTGCAGAGCTGTGGGGAGATCGTTAGATTTATTTAAATGTGCAAACACCCAGAAAGACCCGATTCGAGCTTAAGGGGCGCTCACGGTTACTCGTTACCAGGGTTTTGATCGCTAGCTTCGGAAGCAGCTCCTGGCCAACACATTTCAGGAGTCCAACTCCGCGTTTTATTCCGCAAGATCCGCCTCCACTCCCATATTACAATGCGAGTGTTTGTCATTGGGTACTTCATAGTGATTTGTCCCGTAATGCAGTAAATCAGTAAATCACCCCCCCCCATTTTTTGTCACGTTTAACCTTGTTTAATCGTGTAAGCACAAAAGAATTTAACTACCTAGTTACATTAATTTCAGCAGCAACATTGTTAAAAGATATTTCCCATAAGTATTGTAACCTCGGCCTTGGCAAGTTTCTTCTGCCTTATTTTTCATTTTCTTCCTGAAAACAGGTACTATAGCAGACTCCATATTAATTTTTTAAAAAAATCAGCCATGGGCATACAGGGAGTTTTATTTTTTAGGCATCACCGGAGAAATGATTTGTGGCAAAGCCTGGAAAGATCTTAACGTGGTAGTATCAAGGAGAGGAAGGGGCAGTCTTTGTTAATAGATGATACCTGGGAAGCAGAGAAGAGGAATGATTCTCTATGTCCAAGAGGGAACGGAAATATTGTAAGACGGTGTTGGCACCTGAAAATAAGTGACTTTCAGAGAGCTTTTTCTTGGAGTAGGGAGGGAGCTGAGGTTAGGACGTGGAAAGGAAAGGCAGAGGCAGGACTGCGGAGGGTAGCTGGTACTGGAAGCCATCCGCAAGCAAACGGATTTTTCCGAAGGGGATTAAAGTCAGAGGCCAGGGAAGGAAAATGGCTGGAGAGCCCCGCAGCCAATCAGAAAGCCCACCAGGACTAGCCGCAGTCTCAGGTCGTTCTCGGCGGGCAGCGGTATTCGCTGGATGGGTGGACACCCTCGGCCTCTTGAAAAGGGTGATGAAACTTGGGGTGGGAAATAGTGTCCCTCGCCCGTCTAAGCACACTAGTGAACCTACGCCAAAGTTATCGTTCTGGTGGTGTCGGGGCCCCTCCGGGCACAGACTGTCCCCAAACTCGGCCACTTGTGGGGGGGCGGGGTAGGGGCGCTCAGCCAGGACCCTGCCCTTCCTGAGAAGCCCAGGCTGGTCGAGCAGAGCGAGAGGGAGTCTCACTTCTGTTAAACCTGTTAGAAGCTGAGCGGGCAGAGCCGTCATTTACCCTCTCGCGTCCCTGCGGTCTAGGTGGGGAGGGAGCCCGGGTGGTATCGGGTCGTGTGTGCAAGCTTGCCTGGGTGACAAAACCGCGAAACTAGTCTCAAACCGCCAGCCGGGTCGGAGTGCGTCTTTTAAGGGTGTCTCTGTGTCTCCACAGGGCTCGGCGAAGCGTGGGGCCACTCGAGCAGGACCAGCCCCCTGGACAACGTAGGCCGCGAACTGGGCTCCCACCTGCTCCAGGTACTGACTTGGGCCTCCCGGCGGCGCACGTGCTTCGAGGGCCCGGGTGCCGGCCCCCGAGCTAGGATTCTTGTTTCCCGGAAAATGGGATCCCGTCCAGAGGTGGCCGTTTCGCAGCCCCTACGACTCCTTGTAGAGTTAAAATGTTTAGCTCTTAACCTCGCTGGGTGTGGAAGGCGCCTCTCGAGGTGACAGTCGGCGCGTTGGGTTTGGAAGGGAGCCCGGTAAGGCCCGAATCAGGACGGCTGAACGGAGGGAGGGGGCGCCATCTGACGCCATTCAGCAGAGGGAACCAGAGGCCAAGCTGCCGAGGCCGGGCTGCAAAACCGTCCCAAATGAAGAATTTATCCAGGAAATAACGGGAATCTGGTAGAAATACCCGTCAGTGCTTTAAGTCCACACGTCCCGGATCCAGCTGCGTCCGCAACTCGTTTCACTTCCTCCCTGTAGCCCCCGGGATCCCTCCTCTCTCTCCACGCGCCCTCACCCCAGGCCTGCCCGGGCCGCGTGCGGACCCTCGCGCGTACACACATACACCTCCCTGAGTAATGAGTTTATCCAATGTGGTGGCGCCCATTACCGCGGTGTTTGCCGTGTACACCGTTTTAAATTGCCCGTTGCCCGCGTAAGTCGCCTAGCAAATATTTAAAATAGTAAAACTCCCGGGGGCATTTTTAGGCTTGACACTTTTATCCCACCCTGCACCCCCTTATTCTTATTATTCAAGTCCACCACGGGATCCTCCCGTGGGAGCCTCAAACCCGAGCAGCATCAGACTGGGGACTCTGAGCCCGTCTCCCTCCTGGACCAGACATGAGAAGCATCTCATGGCAGGAGTGCCGTGGTCTTTCCTGTCCCATCACTACCCTGTGCCTCCTTCAATCCCAGAGGCCAAAAGAGATTTTAGTTTCATAGAGCAAAGAGAGGCCCTGTGTGAGCATTCCCTCCCAGGCCTGGCCTCCATGCCTCCAAATTTAAAAAGATTCTGTTTCTCCCCTTTCTCAGGGGAGAGAAAGTTGTCTTTCATCAGTTGTCTCTCAACAACTGACCCCCCACCCAAAGCTCTCCATATTCCCAGTTAACTTTCCTCATCAACGTAAACAAGAGAGCAAAACCCAAACAGTCCCTCACCCCTTCTAGTTCTTGCCCAGTCTTTTTCCTAGTGTTCATCCCACACTCCTTGTAGGACTTCATGATCCTCCCAATTTCCATTGCTTACTCTGCCCCCCTCACTCCCACACCGCTTGCACTCTGGCATCTCTCACAGCTGGTGTGCCCTGCACAGGCTTCACAATATTTTGATATCCAGCATAAGATGCTCATCTCTTATCACACATGACCTTGTTCATTCCACAAACATAGGAGGCCCAACTGTATGCCAGACAGAAAGCCCTGCCCTCATGGAGCTGACACTCTAGGGAGAGCAGCCTTACAAACCCACACAGGTGCGCAGCATGGTATGACAGGTGGTGTAGGTGCCATGGAGAAAAAGAAGAAGGTGAAGGAGGCGAGCTGTGTTTGAGTGGTGCCATTTTAAATGGGGACGGTTGCAGAGGACCTCACTGGGAAGGTGACATTTGGGCAAAGACTGGATGGAGGTGACACTGCTTACTTGACATTCTGCCTCTCCTTGGGTCTCTAAAGTAGCACAATTTCCTGGATTCTTCTCCCTCTCTGCCTGCTTTTCTAGGTTTTCCCACTACTGTCTGGTTGTAAAGGCTGGCATTCCCCCCAAGGTTCCAGCTCTGTTTCTCCTCTCACAGCTTCCTGTGTTATCTCAACCTCAACCAACACCACCACTTCAACTCCTTTTCTCTCATTTGCATGACCCCACTGGTTTCTTGTCTAGACACCCCTCCTGAGAGCCAGACCTTTATTTCCTACTGCCAACTGGACACATCCAAATGGAAATCTGCATATACCTGAAGTTTAGCATACCTAAGACAAGAATTCATTATTTCCTTCTTCCAGACTTCCACTCATACAAAAACTCACCAGGACTCCCTAAATTTTCAATGATCTTGAAGTCAGTCTCAGCTTCTCTTTCTGCCACCACAAATTCCACAACAGCCAGAACCACCTTTGACTGAGACTCTTCCCCCATCTCGTCTTCCTTGTGACCACCCAAGTTCAGCTTTGACCATCTCTGATCTCCTCATTTCCATTCTTTCCTCCTATAGATCACTGTCCACATTCTGCCAGGAGAAGAAAAACAAAAACAAAAAAACACATCTAAGCATGCTATTTCCCTGCTTAGAAACCTCTGTTGAAATCTGATGCCTGCAGGAGCATCTCCAAATTCCACAGACTGACATCTCAAACTCTCCAAAAATCCAGCACCAGTGTAGTCCCTCAGCCTCATCTCTGGTACACCAAACTCATCAAACCTGAATACACCAGATCCACCCTCCACCCCCAGTCCCTGCTTTCTATACGCCATTCCTTCTGCCTAGGATGCCCTTCCTCCCTTCTCATGTTCAAGCTTCCTTTCAAGGCTCTACTCAAACAGCTCTCCTAAAGCCACTCTGCTTCTCCCCAGGCCTCTGGCCACTAAGTCTCCAGGCCCTCACAGCACTGTCTATTCAGCTATATGTTCATTATATCTGTCTTTAGGCCAATTGTCTGTTTTGGACTTCCAGATCCTTGCGAGCAGGATCTGACTCATCTTTATGCTTCACTGCCTGGACTGAAGCCTCATTCACAGAGATAAAGGAACAGTGAAAATCTAAGACTTTTCTTCATGGAAAGCCTGCCAGTTTGATGCATCAATGTAAACACACACATACACACTGTAGCACTACTCTATGGACTTGCTGCTGGGAAAGCCTCCCATCTCCTAAATCCCCCTCTCCTGGACTCTTTCCAGAGCCACTGGCCAGCTGCCTTCTATCTACAAACTTTTCAAGATGCCAGCCCTTCCACATCTCCCAGTGCCTACTATTTCCCAAACCCTGCTAGCACGCTTTCTATTATAGAATATCCCACTATGAAACTCTCCAAGACTGACACAGGAAACTTCTGGTTTGCTCAGTGACCATCACCCCAAGAACCTAACCCACCTCTTATCACAGGCTGTGATTCCCCCCCCCAGAATGTTTGTGTATGTTCCAGATATGTCTGCTTTGTCCATTTTGGTGAATCCTCAGTCTTGGAGGGCAGTAGCCTTGTCCACCACTTCCTAGAGTCTCTCCTAGGGTGCCGCATGTCCCATGCTTACAAATTTGGAATGAACAAAAGAGAGACTCTTGTGGCTGGTTTTCTTTGCTCTATTTCCTGCCAGGCCCTGTCTACTCCATCACTCTGCACTTCTGGCAGAACATCTCTAACTTCTGTATACCCGCCCCCCCCCAGTTTCTCTCGATGGCCCAGAGGGCTCTCCATTCAACAGTTTCTGTCTCCCCAGACCTTGGATGGCTTCATCTTTGTGGTGGCCCCAGATGGGAAGATCATGTACATCTCGGAGACAGCCTCAGTCCACCTGGGTCTTTCTCAGGTAGGTGAGTGGTCCACACCTCCAGCCTTCAATGTTTACAGCCAGGGCTGGAGGCTGGAGGTAGGGTCGGGTGGGGCTTTCCCAAAGCTTTTATAGGTGTTTCTGGGACTGGAAACATCTCAGCTGGCAGGAGGTCTGGATCTCCCTCTTTCTCTACTTATCCTTTAGCATCCACCCCAAGCCCAAACAATGGCTACCTTTTTGAGCTGCTACCATAAGCCAAAGATCATGGGAGGTGGTTACATACTCATGTCGTGATGTCTTCACCAGAACATTGCCAGGAAGCTACTACTATTACTACTTCAATTACTATTATTATTCTTTCCTCTCATAGATAAGGAAACTGAGGCTTAGATATGTTGCAATAGGTAGCAGGCAGCAGAACTGGAATTAGAACTCAGGACCGACTCTAGAGCTGTGGCTCCTGTCCTCATAGCCCTGCAGACCTCCGGCTCAATCTTCCAGCCCCTCCGTGGGGCATCCCACCTCCTTGGAGACGGTGATACCCCCCTCTTTACAGGTAGAGCTGACCGGGAACAGCATTTACGAATACATCCACCCTGCGGACCACGACGAGATGACGGCGGTGCTCACTGCCCACCAGCCCTACCACTCTCACTTCGTCCAGGGTAAGGCGGACGCGCGCCGGTGACACTCCGGCCCATCGCAGTCCCTGGTAGCTCTTCCTCCGTTAGCCGTGACAGGGACATGGCGCCGCACCGCCGGCCTCACGTCCTGTGCCTCCGTCCGCTCCTCTCTCCAGAGTACGAGATCGAGCGCTCCTTCTTCCTGAGGATGAAGTGCGTCTTGGCCAAGAGGAACGCGGGCCTCACCTGCGGCGGCTACAAGGTGCGTGGCTGAGAGGGGAGATCCACGCCCCGTGGCGGCCGCGGCCACCGAGCCTGGTGCAGGTGAACGGGGCAGGACCAGAGGCACGTGCGGCGGCGTGGGAGGGAGGTTCAGGCAGCCGGGACCACAGTGCCCCGCACGCGTCACAGCGCCGGGCGCACCGCCAGGGCCATTAAACTTCGCGAGCACCTGGGGACTACGTTTTAAGATTGCATACGTCTCACTGGGTCCGGGTGCTGCCTGGCCGCTGGGGGTCTTAACCTGGGGCACGCAATGGGCCTTAGGGGTGTGTAAAGCGTCTGAAACGGTCGGTAACTTGGGTGGATTCGTAGAGTTTACTCACAGCGTCAGATTCTGCCCCCTCCCCTGCCAGAGGTTAAGAACCAGCGCTTTCGCTGGAATCCAAGTTTTTCTTGTTTAATAAGCACTAAACATGATCAGAATGCAGGTTCCAGGGCCCCACTTCGCGATCCGGATGCATTAGGGTTGGCCGGGCTCAGGCCTCTGCATTTTCCTCAGCTCCCAAGTGAGCTCACTGGGACAGTACAGTCGTTCCCTTGAGACACGTTGGAACCCCAATAACTTTGGACACTTCAATGCGCGGGCGTGGCCCACAGGGGTTTGTGGCCGAGGAGAGTCTCCAAATGTTTCAGTCCCTTCGCCCCCTTTTTGGATGTTTCCTGGCTGTGGCTGAGTCTCCCGCCCTCGCCGTCCGCCTCAGGTCATTCACTGCAGCGGCTACCTGAAGATCCGCCAGTACAGCCTGGACATGTCCCCCTTCGACGGCTGCTACCAGAACGTGGGCCTGGTGGCCGTGGGCCACTCGCTGCCTCCCAGCGCCGTCACGGAGATCAAGCTGCACAGCAACATGTTCATGTTCCGCGCCAGCCTGGACATGAAGCTCATCTTCCTGGACTCCAGGTGGGCGGTCAGGGCGGGAAGGGGTCACGCCTAGAGGGAGGGAGGCCCCCACTCAGTCACTGAGAGGTCCTCGTCTACCTTGTGAGCCCATTTTGCAGATGAGGCGACTGACAGGGCCCTGCGAAGTGAGGGTGGGCACCCAGCGCTGAGGCGGCTGTCGAGGGTGGGGACGGCCCAGCAGCCGGCGCTCATCCCGCCGGGGTTGCTCTCCTTAGAGTGGCGGAGCTGACGGGGTACGAGCCTCAGGACCTGATTGAGAAGACCCTGTACCACCACGTGCACGGCTGCGACACCTTCCACCTGCGCTGCGCCCACCACCTGCGTAAGGCGCCACGCTGCCCGGCCCGGGGCGGAGGACGGTGGGGGGAGGGGTGGGGGATGGTAGGAGAGGCCCTGCGGGCGCCTGCCCCAGCACCGGTCCCACTTCATTTCCCTCCTCATCCGCGGGCCCTCACACAGGCCGAGGGCGAGCCTCTGAGTTTCTGGGTGAAGTTCTCCCAGGAGGGTCTTGTTCTCCTATTGATAGCCGCCCCCCTCCCCCACCAAGATGGAAGCGGAAACCGAGGCTCGGCCACTTGGCTCACGCGCGTTGACTCGCTTCAGCTTTGGATACAGCTTTGCTTTGAGTTTAATCTCCGAGACAGGGAACGTGAGCATCGGAGTTGAGCGGCCCAGACCCTCCGTAGGTAGAGCATCGAGTGCCGGGAATCCCCCAACTTTAAGTGTTGCCCTCCTGGCTAAGCGTGAGGGATCCGAGCACTCGATGCAAATGAACAGGACAGTCGGTTCATTTGGGAACGTTCTAACCAGAACGTTCTCTCCCTCCTGCCCTGGGAGCAGTTATCAGGGCTCACGGGGGACCCGCCCTCCCACCGCCAGGGATTACATTTGGACCGGTTCAGGAGCGGGTCCGTTCACCATCAGCTGCCTTGTGTCTCTCCATCAGTGCTGGTAAAGGGGCAGGTGACCACCAAATACTACCGGTTCCTGGCGAAGCACGGCGGCTGGGTGTGGGTGCAGAGCTATGCGACCATCGTGCACAACAGCCGCTCGTCCAGGCCGCACTGTATCGTCAGCGTCAACTATGTCCTCACGTGAGTGCAAGTCTGGGACCCCTTTGCCCACTGCAGGCGACCCTGGTTTCCACGAGGGTGCAGGTGGTGGGCACGGCCGTGTTAGGCGAGACTGGGGTCCGCGGGGACGCCGGTTTTGACCCTGAGCGCCGGCTGAGGGGCAGCTCCAGCACTTTTGCCGCTATGAAGAGACTTTCTTACGTTCTAGAGAAAGATTTAGGACTTTTCCCATCCACAGTCCATATTTGCTTTCTACTCTCTCTCTTTTAACCTTTTAATCTAACTCTGCATTAAATAAAACAATGCGGCAGGAAGGAGAGAGAGAGGAGGGTCCCACGTACGGAGCCGTTTATAGTTAATAAACAGGACATCTGTTTCACTTTTTCAAAGCTGGGTTTGAAGTTCTTAATTTTAACCAGAGTCTCCAATCAAAGTTAAGAGTTCTGAGAGAGTGATTCCTTCCTTGAACCACAAAGGGGGTTTAAGTGACCAGGAGGGTCTAACTTTAACCTCCAGAAAGCAAAGGGGCCCGACCTGATGTAAGACTGCAAGTCTTGGTAGGCGCCCAGGCCCGGCTTGTTGTGCAGCATCCTCGCTGCGTGAGGAGCCGGGCTCGCGGTGCCACCTGCGGGCGCGGCTGGCTGGGCGGCCTCGGTGGCTGCATTGGAGCCTTACTCTTTCTAGAAACAATAATCATTTCTGGTTAGCGGTGTGGCCCTGCAGGCTGACCACGTGTCCTGGTGTGCCCCTCGTGAAGAAAGCACGTTCTGTATAATGTTTGTGAAAATAAAATTGCTTGGGGTTGAAGCCTTTATGAAGAACCCTTTTGTGTGCAGTTACCTTTTTCTTTTTTCTTTTTGGTAGAGGTTGAAATTCTTGTGATTTTAGGTTACCTCAGCAGTTATTTACTTTGGAAGCATTGACACACCAGGGCACTTAGTAGAAATGCTATTTTGACATTAGGAAGTTGGTTAAAGGGTGCTATTTGGAATAAGACTGTACTATTGGCCATGAGGAGTAGACTCATTTCACGTTCTTTTAAATTAACAAATTATAAATGTAGTAGTTGGAAATATTATGCTTGGCAATAAGATTATTTACTCTGTGCCCTGTTTAATAAGAAAATTTAATTCAGTAGGTTTGGAAAATGAATTTGGTTTAAATGAGGATTCAGTATTCAAGAATAATAGCTGGTTATTAAGAAGAACCTTTTTATTTCTTTCCTTTTAGTAAGTGGTATTAAAACAAATACTGTTAGGTTCTTGTAATAGCAAGAGAGCTGTGGATTTTAACAGAGAGCAGAAAACATACCAGTATTTGGGGTACCATGAAACAAAACCATCTATTTTATGAATGCAGTTTTTCATATTGTTAAAATAAACGTAAGAGAAAATGGCAAAACATAATTCATAAAATAAGCCACTTTGTGGAGTAGAAGTATTAAAGAGTGAAAAATTATGTCTGCTCACCATGGAAAGGAAACGGACATTCTTTAAGAAGGTGCTCTGTATGTCTGAGACATCACGAGCATTATACATACACTCTGTTCTATGGTGGGTGCCTGTGGTTATAATCATTTTTTATCAAACAGCGGGTATATAGTCACACAGCCCCATATAAATGATCAGAATGCAAGTTAGACCTCCCAATGGGTAAACTTAATTTATGTTTAGAGTCATTTTGAAATATTCTGTTTTGTTTTCCAGGGGATAAGTGTACTTTCTTTCTTCTGTTGACTCTGTCATTCTTCACTCTACACACTCCTTCAGAGCTGCAGGATTAGGCTCCCAACTCTACATCAGATTAAAAAGATGTAATGAGGATAAATGATTTACAGAGGGAAAAATAACATCGCACACATTTTTCTGAATGTTTTATACCTCTGAATGAAAGTAGAAATAAACACACAGAAGCACACAAGATGAAAAGCTGAAATTGATTACCCTTTTATGAGGCTCAGCTCCAATTCTTTGTATAAAAATTCTTAGGACAATTTTTATAGCTGCAAATGTGGAAACTGCCTTAGATGGAATGTCATCAAGTGGCTCTGTGTGTGTTGACAAGATTTTCATAATGAACAGGTTGCAGTTTGTTTGATGTGTATATCACACATCTGGCTGGAAGTTACTAATTTACATTGTCTTAGCAAATTAAATAGATGGCTATTGATTCTCTATGGTAGCAGTGAACTACCACATACATTTGTTTCAGGGCTAGTTCTCTATGAAGCCTGAGAATGATAAGTGAATTCTTTCCAAATACACCACCTCAAACAATATACTTAAAACCACAAGCCCCCCCAAATAACTTGACAGGCCAGATGTTTTCCAAATTTAGACAGTTTAATAGCATACTTTGTGAAGGGGTTTTCATGTCATGAAAGTAGAGAGAATTTTAAGTAGTCGTTGGTCAAATGAAGGTGTGGCATTTTGGTGGAAGCTACATTCATCAGAAACTCATTTTTTTTTAATTGGACAAATCTGGGAATTTATTTGAAGTATATTTTTAAAAATTCATTTTGAAATAATTTTATACTTTTGGAAAAGATGTAAGAAAGTATAAAGCACCCCCGTATAGCCTTCACCCAGATTTTCACCAGTGGTTAGCATTCTGCCACTATGCTTTGGCATTCCCAATCTCTCCCTTCCTTCCCTTTCCCCCTCCAAATATATACACATGTACATATACATGCACAAATGTTACTATCTTTTTTATGAACTATTTGAGAGTAAGTACAGCCGTCATGCTCTTTTACCCCTAAAAGCTGAAGTGTGTGTTTCCTAAGAACAGGGACATTCACTCATATAACCACAGTAGAATTATGAAAAGCAAGAACTTTAACACAAATATAATACTATTATCCAATATACATACCTTATTCAAATTTCTCCAGTTGTCTCAATAATGTCCTTTGTAGAAAAACTTCTATTATTTTTTTAAGGTCCAGGATCCAATCCAGGATCACACATTGCATTCAGCTTTCTGTTTCGCTAAGTCTCTTTTAGCTAGAACATTTCCTCATGCCATTTTTGTTTTTCATGAAAGTGACCATTTTAAAGGGCACAGGCCCACTCTTCTATACACTGTCCCAGAAACTCATTTTTCTAAGTTCCTGGTGGTAAATTTATTGTTGAAGTTAAAATATGCCTAGAAAAATTAGTCATTATTATCTAACAAAAGCAATGATGAATAGAAATGTTCAGTAGCCTTGTTTTAATAAGCGGCTGCGACAGTGATTGTAGGAATTTTAGAGGCAGGTGGTGTTTTTACTGGCTTTTGTCTGACCACTGTACAAAATGTTGGTGTTCTGGAAATCTGGAGAAGAAAGGGAGAAGACATTATGATTAAATATAAAATTTTTTCTTAGTTTTTCTCTGGGTCCTTGAGGTTCACTGAAGCTTGTATAGCTCTTCATTAAAACTCGCCCCCCCAAAAAAAACCCCAAAACAGGAAAAAAAAAAAAAAAAAAAGCTGACCAGCTCGTGACTTTCTATAAGACACACATACCCTTTTAGCTTAAAAAAAAAAAAAAATCTTTCGTATAAACTTTGAGTGCCCACGGGGTTTGAAATAAGTGTTAAGTATGACAGGCCCTGCTCCCTGATTATTTTCAAGAGGAGAGGTGAATGGAGCTAGTGTCTAGTAACAGTGGATGTGGGGAAAGTCCAGAAAGTATGGAGAGTGAAAGAGAGCATACTGTGTAAAACCAAAGTAATTTTCTTGAATTTGTATGTCCTCGGGTTTGTTTAATTAGTAGTGTTAGTTATTCATAGCCAGTTCAGATGGAAAACATTAGTACTTAACGTGAAGAAGATTGAAAATGTGGAACACCCAATAAACTGTGAAAAGTAATTTCTAGAAAAATGAACAGTCTTGCTTCTCTTTATGTTTTAATAATTAAACTTTTTAAATCTACTTTTAAGGATCAACCAGTAAGGTGTAAGAATCTCATTTTAAAATATTTTAAAACGTAAAATTTTCAAACATACAAAAAAGTTGAAAGAATAGTACAATGAATATCCATATACACATCATCTATAGTAAAGCCATATTTGCTTTCTGTCTCTCTCTTCCTATATCTATGTCTATTTGTATATACATTTTTTTCTCCACTGAATCATCTTAAAGTAAGCTACAGACATGATACATCATCCTTAAATAACATTCTCCTACATAGCCACTGTACATTTATTATGGCACATTTTAAGTGTTCAAATTACTGTGTGTAGAAGGTTGCAAAAATATACATGAGATCTAGTTTACTGATGCCATTAAAGACAGTCCGCCACTGAAATTCATCAAGTACTCACTGATGCGTGACCTCATTTAGGATGACTGATAGTATTTTGTGAGGGGACTTCTGTAGGATATAGTAGTAAATGTTAGTGTATTTTAAACTAGACTTCTAATGAGAATTGTAAGCTAATACAATTCTGATATTTCGCTTGGAAAGTAAGAGAGAAGATTTTCAGAGTAATTGGGTAATTTTGGAATCAGATACATTTAATATCTTCAACCATTTTTTTGTTGTTGTTGTTGGTAAAGAAGGCTTCTCTGTTTATTTCCTAAGTTTAGGGTAGAACAGTGTTTCAGTGGAAAATCTCACATGCTGTTTTAGAGTGATTCACTGAACATATAGAAGAAAGTAATTTTCTGTGTTACAGTTTCTATCTCAGTGTTACAGAAAGCAGAACAAGTAGACGCAATTTACATTAGTGGTCTATATAACACTTGCTATCTACTGAATAATCCTTTGAATTTGTAGAAAAGTTAGGGCAAATGCCAAAGGAGACATACTTCCTTCATAGAAAAGAAAAAAAAGTCTACACTGTAATTATTGCAGGTCCCATAATTTTTGTTCTTCTTTGCATAAAACCACTGTAGTTCTCACAATTAAAAAGGGTTTCTAAGTGTTAACATATTCTGTGAATATAAACCCTTATGTATCCTTACCATAAAGCAGCAGACATTAAAATATGCTGATATGAGTTTGCCTTTCAAGTGTGTTAATAGTGCTGAGC